CAATTAAGCAAATTGTTGTACTTTTCATAGCAATTGCTACAATTCTCTACAGCAATTAAACGAGTTGTTGTGTTATTTTACAACAATTGCTTTAATTTCTACAACAAGCACGAAAATTATTGTACTTTTCATAGCAATTGCTGAACTTTTCTACAGCAAGTAAGAAAGTTGTTGTCCTTTATATAACAATTGCTAAAATTTTCTTTAACAAGTAAGCAAATTAATTGGCTAATTGATTGTTTATTGTTTGTAACACTCATATTTAATGATAAATAAAGTAGTGTTGATTTAATTTTAAAATAAAATTTATATTAGATAGTGATCTTGTATAATGAGATAGTTATTTGAATATGCACAACAATTGTTTAAATTTCTACAACAAGCATGAAAATTATTGTACTTTTTATAGCAATTGCTGAATTTTTCTACTGAAAAGTAAGTAAGTTGTTGTACTTTATATAGCAATTGCTAAAATTCTCTACAACAAGTAATAAAGTAATAATAAGAATAACAATAAAATAAAATATGCTCTTACAATCAAAATAACAACAATTAGTACCAAAATAGATAAGATCAAATGTGTTCACAAATAATAACAACAAAAACAACAATTAGTACCAAAAAAGATAAGATCAAATATGTTCACAAAAAACAAGAAGAACAAATGTATTTTTATGCAACATTTCGCTCGGAGCATTTAGTTCTCTTGTGACCAATTCTTTTGCATAAAGAACATTTATTTTTCTTTGTTGAAAATGATTCCCCGATTCCTTTTTGTCTTTTTGAGGACCTTCTTCCAACCTTGCCTGGCTCAACAAATGGAGAAGATATTTTTCTCTCTAAAATCTCAATAGGAACTTTTCAAGTTTCTTCAGATGGAACTGGTTTAATTTCCTCCACATATGCAATAAGGTATACCTCTGCTTTGTAATACAAAGAGGAGTACTCATAAATGTGTCTCCCATAGTCATCACCATATTGACATCGAAGCGCTGCCATAGCATGTGGACAAGGTACTTTGTCAATGTCAAAGACTTTACAAGTACAAGATTTGGCTAGCAAATCAACTGTTGCAACTTCATTATGACTGGTGACAATATACTTGTAGTTGGCAGTTTGATGGACCAATAGCTTGTTCTCCAGATTAATATCTTTTGCAATGTCTTTTTCTATCAAAGGGACGAAGATGGTTGGTGCATTAATGAATTTCATACGCCTCTCATGAAATTTTTCTGCAAATCGCCTGTTTATTGCATCAAATAGACCAGTAATGAGATATTTTCTTTCATCAAGAAACATTGAGTTAACCGACTCAGCAATATTTGTCGTCATAATATTGTACCTGTAACATATAAGTGTCCAATAATATATTATAAGTATGTGTTTATAACTGTTGTATGGTTTTTATAGCAATTGTTGCATATTTCTCAGCAGGTGCTGAAATAAGTGCAGCAGTAGCTATAAAAAAGCTGCAGTAGTTATACCAACTATCAATAATAACTATAATAAAATTTACCTATTTCCGGGAAAGAATGCCCTGCTCCATCGGTGAAATCCAACGCGTTCAAGATGTGTGGTAGCCTGTGGAACCAAATCTTTTATCCGATTAAAATGATCACTGAACACATCAATATTGTATGTTTTTGCCGCCTTATAAAAGTGGTAGACAACACTCGCATTGTGAAAATTATTTCGAATATTTTCTCCTAAGTGCCTCATGCAACAACTATAATGAGCTGAAGGAAATACAATTGAAACCATCTTTCTAATACTTTGATGTCTATCAGAGATTATGCACAATTCAGGAATATCAAGTACAAAACTTCTCAATTGCTCGAAAAAGTATCGGTAGGAAGCATCACATTCAGAGTCTACTACGCAAAATGCCACCGGAAAAATATGATTCTCCGCATCCTATGTAACAACAGACAACAACACACCACCATATTTACTTCTCAAAAATGTCCCATCAACAGCTATGACTTTTCTCATTTGTGCGAAACCAAGAATCGAAGCTCCATATGTCACAAAAAGTAACTTGAACCTGCCATTTTCATCAATCTTCAACGCCGTTTTACTTCCCGGATTAGATGTCCTAAGCATATGATTATACGCATCAATCACTCCATATCCATGTTCATGTGTCCCTCTTACCAAAGACTTTGCAATCTCGCTACCCATCCAACTTTCCAATAACTAACCTTGCATCCCAATTCAATACAGATAGAGTTTTTCAAATCTTTTGTAAATGGACCTTTACCTTTGGGATATCTATCTTTGAAGTATGCTCCAATGACTTTTGTTGTGGCATGTGGATTATGACTCGTAAGATGTTCCAAGCCACATGTATGCATTTTTTCATACTTTTTTAATATAAAAATCTATCAGAATTTTCAACTTTCACCGCTCTTAGCCACCACTTGCACTCAAGATGCTCACATTTGACACAATACACTGAACACGAATTAATTACCTTCTTCAATCTAAAATCTTTTTTGACACAAGCAATTTTCAATGCAATATCTAATTCTTGTTTATTCTTAAATGACATATCTTTGTAAAAATCGGTTCCATCATCTTGAGCATGACTACATTAAGTTAATTAATTATCAGCTAAAGCAAAAATTAATTAAGTGTACAAAGAGGATGAACTTTTAGAAATAAGTAAATTTATGAGTTCATAGTACTTGCCTATCAACAACTTCACCAATAATGGGCAATCCATTCCGAACTTCATGAGAAAGAATATGTTGACCTTCACACTCTTCATTTGGAATATTCATATTCATCCTACCACATTCATCGTTCAACACTTGTTGGTCATCACATAAATTATGATTCTCCACCAATCTTTCAACCATGTAGATCCTTAATCTTCTGCTTTTCACCACAACTATGCAGGTAAGTGATCACAATATCTTCCAACTCACAATTTTACAACAAGTAATGATTTTATTCGCAAAATCATCATATGCAATATCTCGATGCACACTCATCGCAATTGTCGCGGACAATTCTTTACTCTTCCAACGCTAAATATAACGATTGTTAGACTCAACCCATTCACCATTACAATCAATCGGTACTACTATTCTATCTCCCATTAATGATGTTGAAGATACTTGAAAATATTGTAACTTAGAACTAAAAATTGATCATAAAAATATTATATTAAAATATCACAATTGTTGTAAGTTATTCAGCAACTGCTGAAATATATATAGCAGTTGCGGCAATTTATTCAACAAAAACATTCAGCAATTGTTGTAAATTACTGAAATAGTCATATCAGTTGCTGAAAATTATTATACATCAGTGACAAGAACAATAATATAAAAATCAAATTTTTAAATGAATAATGCACACAAACAATACTATTAACTTGTTAAAATGATTGAAAATTATCAGTTAAGAAGTGATTTCTAAAGTTTAGACCTTTTCAAATCACGTGTTGAATTAAAATTTGAGATTTTCCCTTCTCAAATTCTGCAAATAAGAAATCTACAATAAGCTACAATAAGAGGAAGAAGAAGCGCTAGTGATGAAGATTAGAAGCAAAAAAAATGTGAAAAGAGCGGGACGTTGGGAGAGAACAAAAAAGAACTGATTTGGGGGTTTTCCTATTTTAGAAATTAGGGGTTTACTTAAATTTGGGTGAAAGTGTAAAAATAAAAACTTGAGGACCTATATAATTATTTTTAAAAATTAATTAAAAATTTGTCACGTACACTTAATAATTAAAACTAGAGTCACTCTTTTTACATTTCAACACTTTTTTGTCACCTATAATTCATTCTCCCAAGTAGCTCCAAATGAATTTTCTTTTTTGAATGGGTATAGAAAATGGGTTAAATTCTTTTGGGTTTAAGATAGATAGATGGGTCGGACATAGGTTTAAAATGGAAAATGAGTCATTTTTTAAGAAATCGGGTCAATTTTGTTTGATTTAGGAATTTCCGTCAATTGAGGGGTATAAATGGTGAAATTAGTAACGGTGATGGTATGAATAACTTTGTTTCAACGATAGGGGTATATTTAACTAATAAACTAAAATTGAGGATATTTTTTACCCTTTTCCCTAAAAATAATCAAGTGTGTGTATATATATATACTAAAAAATAATTTATTCAACTCTCTTATTTATCAAGAATTTTTTTAAATTTCATCATTTAATTCTCTTAATAACAAATTTGTGTTTAAATTTATTATTATTGAAAGTAAAAAAAAATTATTTTATTTTCCCACATCAAAAAATGGAGTTATCTTTTGGAGAGTTATTGCTCTAATTTATTTATAATAATTACAACAATAATATTGTAATAATAGGAATAATTATTCTGATGTTGTTAAACTTTTATTGTCCCACACATATATATATAAATTGAAAAGAATTATCTAACTCTTGACACTTTTTCTACATCTTGAACACTACATACTCATATTTTTTTAAAATTTTTATTTCTTCATCACTATCTGATAATCTTAATACGACAAAATTATGTGTTTAATTTTATTTTATTTTTATTGTAAAAGTATAACCTCAACGGTAATGTTTCACTGTAGCAACTTAAGTATCTCTTTTCACAATGCACACTATAAGAATGAAAGTTTAAATATAAATTAAAATATTAATGGATCTTATGCAACACAAATATGTATCAAATGAGTGTCACTACGAGCATCGGATATTCAAAAAAAAATCTCTAACTTTTGAATTTTGTGTATAACTATGTTCGAATATAATTCAAATATTTTTTTCCCTCACGATGATTTAGCACAAATATATTTTGATTTTCTTATTTCTATTATATAGTCATTTATACAAAAAAAAAAAAAAGTCACATAATTTACGATAAAGTAGATTTAATATTAATGGTTGAATCAATAAATATTGCTATAAAATCATGAAATTTAGTATGAAACTATGATAATTAGATTGTTTATTTAACTAAATCTTTTCATATCAATTTTATATTTTCATCTTTTTATCAGCAATTTTAAATTGAAATTGTAGCATGAAACTTTTTTAACAATTTTTCTGAATAGATAATATCAGAATTGTAACTTAATTTGTATTTCTCCCTTTTATTATATTATTTATTAGAATATTTATCAAATAATGACATTAATTATTTAAAAATATATTTAATATTTTCTTATACACACTAGATATAAACAAGGTGACGTGACACCTCTCTATGACCTCTATTCATATTTAATTTTTTTCTCCTTTTTTGGGGCATTTTTATGTTTTTCTCATCATTTTTAATTTAGTTATTATTTATATATAATTAATGTTTTGTTGTAAATATATTATATTAATGTGGATGTCCATAACTTCAAGGTGTAATTTCACCATTATATGTAATAATACTCACACCTTCACCATCTCCTCATTTATCTTCTACACCGCTTTATCTTCCCTACATTCTCAAAAATTAATATCATGTTTATTGTTATCTCTTTGTATGTCTTTTTATAACAATATAAATAGAGGTCTTGAGATTGTATTATGCACTTGAAGATTTGGAAAACACTTGAATATACTTGGAAGAATAAGAAAACTCTCTCTTGTCTCTCTACATTTCTTGTCTTTTTTCTCACTTATGTTATTACTCTTTTCAGTTTTGTTTTAATACATGTTTTCATTCTTGAAAAGTTACATCTAATGGTATTTACCTTCATAAAAATAAATGTATTGATACTTTTATGCCTATCTTAGTGGGGGTTCGGGCGAACCCAATAGCTTTTATGTAAACTCTATACTTGTATTAAAAAATTAAATAAATATATATGTATTTTAACTTGTGAACCCCTTAACAAAACTAATTGATGGCTTAGTGGTAAGGAAGGGGTCTTGGGAATGCTTTCCCATGCTAGAGTTGTGGGTTTGAAACCTCTTCGGCTAATTTAATGACAAACCTCAACAAATAAAAAATAAAAATTAATTAAAAAAATATAAGATCAACAATTAGAAAGAGCAAAAAAAAAAAAAAAAAGAGAAGTTCCACTCATCTTAAATTAAAAAAATTGCTATTTATGCAAATTTCACAAATAAATTAAAAAATATATAAGATTAACAATTAGAAAAGGCAAAAAAAAAAAGAAGAAGTTCCACTCATCTTAAAATAAAAAAAAATCTCGTTTCTTATATATTGTCGTTCGTTAATTTGTCGGTTATATTTAAAGTTATTGTTCTGTTCTAAAATCTAGAACCCCAAACACCTAATTACCCAGCCATCCTCATTCCAAGATTCCATTTCCATGTTGGGTGTGTTTGCTTTGTTTGGTTTTGCAAATTGCAAGCAAGTTAATACTACTAACCAATTCTAAACTGAAACCGTGTAAGCTAAAGATTACTAGTCATAGCTACTCTTTTCCAAGTCATAGAAACAATGGTCTCTTCTACTTATTTGGAACTGAGCTAGCTCTCAACTTTCACCATGCATGACTTAGCCAAAATGTGGGAAGTCCTTTTAATAGACTCTAGATAGTTAAATACACAAACGTCATAGGTTATAATTGGGAGAATGAGTTGGGGGAATGAGTACCAATCAATTTTGCCAATTTTTTATTTAGTCAAACCTGAGGGGTAGTATGCTTACTAGCTGTGCGGTTGTAGCATATGTGAAAAGTCCTCACTTTCAATAATCAAACGAATACTTGATTTTCAACCATTTGTTCTTTGACTTTTGTTTCTGCATTTATGGAGTTTGGTCTTATTAATTATAGGAAAATTTATCATTCTGAATGTGTGGTTA